TCTTGGCAGTCTCGAGGTCGGTGGCCGCCTGCTTGACGACCTGGGCCTTGACGACCTGGGCCTTGAGGGACTCCTCCTTGCCATCCGAGGTCCTCAACTCCCTGTCCTCCTCATCGGCAACCTCCACGTCCGTGAGCGCATATCCCTTGCCAGCCTTGCCGAAGTGGGGTTTCGCAAGGTCAGCCTCGGTCTCCAGCCCGTCGAAACGAGTATCCGCCAAGACCTCAGAGGTCGGTCCCATCTCCGTCGGCACATCGGAGTCCGTGCAGGTCGGGCCGACAACGAGACAATGACAGACACCCCATCCTGCTGCACCACCCGCTTCTGGGAGGCCTGCTCCTCCAGCTCCTTCTTCTGAGCCTCCAGGGACTTCCTCGCCTCCTTCTCGTCCTCGGAGTCCGTCGCAACGCACTCCTTGGGCACTTCAGAACACGACCAGGTAGAGGACGAGTCGCTGTTGCCGTGCGCGCCCTCGATCAGGGCCTCGCGGTCGTGCCCAGCACCGCGGAGACCCCGGAGAGCAGGCAGGAGTCCGGGTGGGCTGCCCAGCGCCGGCCCGCTCGAAGCGCCGACCATCGCTTCGCCAAGGCGGGCTGCTCCTGGGCCAGAGCGCGCCGCACCTCCTCAGAAGTGGCCCTGCGGCCCAGGGCGAGGGAACGCCCTGCGCCGTGCAGGACCTGCTCGTGGGTCTCGAGGGCGCAATCCTTCTCGCCGCCGCCGTCCGCCAGCAGCAGCATCAGCTCCGCGGCTCGGGCCACCGAGCCGCAGCGGGCGACGCACAGCCCATGACGCACCAGCGGGCCGCGCGTGCGCGCCCGCACCGTCGCGGCCCCCGCACCGGCCGCGCCCAGGAGAGGGGGCCAGCCGTAGCTTGAGCCAAGGGAGACGAGGGAGGGGAGAGGAGGGAGGGGAGACGAGAGAGAGGAGGGAGGGGAGAGGAGGGAGAGGAGGGAGCCAGACGGATGCGAGAGAGAGACGAGGGAGGGGAGAGGAGGAAGGGAAGGGGGCGAACGCTGCCCAGAGTACGCCAGTCGGCCGGACCCTGGCCCTGAGGGCGTGCAGGGCAGCAGCGAGGCCCGCGGCGCCAGCCTTGCAGCCGAACGTGCGGCGCAGGGTGCGGCGGCGAGGGCGGGAGAGGAGGGTAGGAGGCAGGCCAAGTGCGCTCGCGCCATCTAGGCCGTCCTGGTCATTGCGCTGATCGTGCTTTTCGCCGGCGCCTTTCATGGCAAGTCTGGAACACTCGGAAACGACCCCATCGTGCGACGCGCCGTCTGCAAAGGGAAACTTGGGGGAGGGGCTCAATAGGATGAGCAGGAGGTAGAGGAGGAGGATGAGGAGGAACAGCAGCAGCAGAAGCAGGAAATGGATTGGGAGGGGCGAGAGGAGCAGAAGGACCAGGTGAAAGCGGAGGAGGGGAAAGGAGCAGGGTGACAACCATAAGAACGCACTCGGATCCTGAACAGTGGCCCGCACTGAGGCGAGAGAGCCATTCTGGACGACGGGAGCACAACGCCGATGCTACAATAAGGCAAACTCTACGGCAGGATCGCCATTTCGAAGGACTCACGACGCTCGAATAAAGGGCATTGCTGCAGCGGGACCGCCCTTTAGGAAGGACCGAGGACGTCCTGGTGGGAAAACACATAGAAGAAAAAATAGCTCGGACCAATCCTGCGTAGAAAACAAAACGCTGAAGGGGGGCGCGACACTATCAGCATATCTTCGAGGGAGAGAGGAACGTCGTACTCATATCGTGTAAGTGTGAAGAGAACCAAAAAAAGAGAGGACGACGCCGGCGAGGAGGAGGCGCAGGAGGAGAGAGTGTGTGACCCAAGGAAGGGGAGGGAGGACACAACTATACGACCACCCTTCGGGTGATCAGGACGTTGTGGGGGTGGGGAGATCAGCTGTCCGTGCGCGGTTGAGGTTGGATCGGATTCGGCGGAAACCAGTCCGGCACCATGGAGCACCTGTTTGGCCATTGATCTGTCAATCCCAATCTCCCTCCACCGATCCATCTCAAGATCGATATCCCTCTATCGATCGATATCACTATCTATCGGTCTCACAATCGACCTCACCATCGATATTAGTGTCACTGTGTCAATCGACCCACTATCGATCTCACGATCGATCTCGCGATCGACCTCGCGGGACCACACGGGACACCACGGAACACCGCGCCACGAGCGTGTTTCCATACTCGCGGCCAGAACGGGCGTTATGGGGGGGCGGGGGCGAGGGGGGCATAACATACGTGTGGTTCTGGCACCACATCGCCTATACGCGTCACAGCAGGCACCACAGTGCGCAGCGCAGTATGCACCACTGCAGCCGCGTGTACCACATCGCCTATGTACTGGGCAGTGCAAACGTGCAGCATGACACTGCTTTTTCACCACATCCTTCTTCGAACACCATTATAGGCTGGTGTTTGCTGGACAACGAGGACGCCCGAGCGCCGGACAACGACGACGAGGACGACGACGAAGCAGACGACGACGACAATAAAGATGACGACGACGAGGACGAGGACGCAGACGGGGACGACGACGACGACGACGACGACGACGATAGCGGCGACGAAGGCGACGACGGCGACGATAACGAGGACGAGGAGGACGAGAACGAAGACGACGACAACGACGACGAGGAAAAGGACGACGACGACGACTACGACGACGACGAAGACGAGGACGAGGACGACGACGAGGTTTCCTGAGACCTCTGGAAGCGTCTGACGGCCACTCGTGGCCCTCGGCGTCGACGACGACGACGACGAGGACTAGGATGACGACGACGACAACGACTACGAGTAGGACGACGACGACAGGGACGAGACGAGGACGGGGACGAGGACGACGATGACGACGGGGACGAGGACAAGGACGAGAACGAAAACGAGAACGACGACCGCCTCTGAAGGTCTCCAGAGGTCCCCGAAAGCCTGAAAAGGTCTCTGGAGACCTCTGGAGGCGTCTGGAGGCCCTTCGAAGCACTCGACGACGACGACGAGGACGAGGACAAGGACGGGGACGACGAGGACGAGGACGAGGACGAGGACGACGACGATGACGATGAGGACGACGATGAGGACGACGACAACAAAGGACGACGACGACGACGACGAAGACGATGACGAGGACGACGACGGCCACCTCTGAAAGTTTCTGGAGGTCTCCAGGAGCGTAAGGAGGTCTCCAGAGCCCTCTCGAGGCGGCTGGAGGCCGTTAGAGGCCCTCGGCGGCGACCACGACGACGACGAGGACGACGACTGCCACGAGAACGAGGGGGACGAGGATGACGACGACGAAAGGGACGACAAAGACGATGACGACGAGGATGAGGACGACGATGACGACGACTCAAGCGACGACCACGACGACGGTAACGATGACGACGACGACAACGACGACAACATCGACGACGACGACGACAACGACGAGGACGACGACGACGACGCCGACGGGGAAGGGGACGGAGATAGGGACGGGGACGGGGACGACGACGACGACGACAACCACGACCACGAACGACCACGACGACGACGGAAACCTGGACGACGACGGCGACGACGACGACGGCGACGACGACGACATCGACGACGACGACGACGACGACGACGACGACGACGACGACGACGACGATGGCGACGGCGACGACGACGACGACGGCGACGACGGCATCCTCCTCTTGGATTCGATGAGGAACGCTAAAAGTGGCCTGCAAGCACCACAGCAGCCTGCGAGCATCACAATTGCAGCGCCGGAGGCGCACAACGGTCGCTGACACTGGGGGGCAGGTGGGGGGAGCTTTACTTGATGTGGGTGGGGGGGCAGGACACTTGTCATGGCCAAGAGGCGTTTTTAAGCAGTCCACGCGACACTACGAGAAAACGCGGAGCACCGCGCCACAAAACAACACGGGACACCACGGGACAACACGGGACACCACGGGACACCGGCAGGACACCTGCGAGCCACCACTGGCAAACCAGAGGAAGGGCATCATTGAGCCTGGCTTCGCCCTGGCAGCGGCGGTTTGAGTCAACTCGCCCACCCGCGCAGCTTCGCCTCGCCCGCACGCGCGACACGAGCACGGAACCCGAAGCAATTTCCCGGTGGGGGGCTCTCAATTTCACTGCGATATCACCCCCCAACCTCAGATACGACCGGACCGAGGACAGAAAAACATCCTTCAAGAACATGAGACCCTCCGCCGGCCAGACCGCAGAACATTCGGGTGTACCCTACCCCAGGATGCACAAGAACATCCAACAATTGTTTTCCCGTCGGCGGCGAGGCAGAGGCAGTCCGCACCAGCGCGGGGCTAATCGGGGCAACCGAAAGGCGAATTGCCCGGCGCGCACGAGGCAGGAACGAAGGCGAGGGCGGCCGCGCGAGGGGAGAAGACATCCAACAACCACGAAGAAAATTAGGGCACCCTCCCCCGACCGACCCCGACCTTGTGACTCGGTCCGACCGTGCTGGAAACCTGCACGGGCTTCTTGGACACGCTTGGCGGCGCCTCCGACGCCGCCTGGGGCGCGCTTCGTGCGCCCGGGAAAAAATAGGTCCAGCGCCACCCAGTGCGCGCGGACCTTTCGCCAGCTGGTGCTTATGATGCTTGTGTGTCTGGTCTCCGCAGGAAAGGAGGGAGGAGGGAGGACAAGGAAGGAATGAGGATGAGGAGAGAGGGAGGCGGAGGGAGGAGGGAGGAGGAGGGAGGAGGGAGGAGGGAGGACAAGGAAGGAGGAAGCAGGATGAGGAGAGAGGGAGGAGGAGGAAGGAGGAGGGAGGAGGAGGAGGAGGAGGAGGAGGAGGAGGAGGAGGAGGAGGAGGAGGAGGAAAAGGTGAAGGAGGAGGAAGAGGAACAAGAGGTGAAAGAGCCATTTGCACCGCACGCAGGAACATCTGAAACGACACCATGGAAGCTATATAGTCTTCTTGAGGAGTGAGGGTGGCTTTGTCTGGATGTCCTGGAGGCACAAAGGACACACCTTATTTCGTTTCAGCCACTTGTCGATGCACGGCTTGTGGAAGTGGTGGTTGCAGGGTAGCTGGCGCATTTCGGAATTCACCTCGAAATCGCCCAAGCACACAGCACAGCTCGTCTCCTGACACCCGTGGCTGTGGGGGCAGAACTTCACCAGCGGCATGGTGTCGATGATATCCTGTGTGGCTCCTCGTGGTTTCGGGAAGGGCCTGTCGCCTTGCTGGTCCGGGAACGAGTGGTAGAAGATGATCAGCGTCATGGCCAGCCTTAATAAACATCATATTACACGCGTTCAAAGGTCCGCGCGGATTTCCTGTGGCGCTGGACCCCCCTCCAACACTCTTTGCCCATCGCCTCTGGCGCCGCCCCCAGCGCGACCCGCGCACCTGGGGAGGAATCCACAGAAAATCCGCGGGACCTCCCAAAGTATTTACTGATGTAGCTTTTTGACTCCCGACGCCTGGCAACCGCGGTTGATATCACCGCTAAGGTCAGCCTGTAGAGACCCGGACATGGCCTGCACGTCGTAGAGTTCAGCAGCCATACCACTCCCAGAACGAACCATCCGTAAGTGACGATGGAAACCGCCTTGCTCATCCTCCCGCGGTTACCAGCCGTGTTCCAGGTCCAAGGCGCGCCCAGCTTTTCGTGCCATACTGGATCCCCTCGGCTCCCTCTGGGGCTCCCGAAGGGTGCCCTGTGGGCCATATGGGGCCTCCATGGAAAAACTGGGGCAGCCTTCGGCCAGAGCCACCCCTGGCAACACCCGAGTCCTCCAGGCCGAAGACTGCGTGAGCTGCTGGACGCATCCTTGGACGTCCCCATTGCGCTGCTGGGTCTGGCGCAGGCGCACGAAGAACACCAACCGCACGGGGGCCTGCAGAAGCTGCAGCACGCAGTGGACGAGGACCCATATCCGCAGCGGCCGGTTGCACTGCTCGCAGGGCGTCCAGTACACGAAGAGGAAAACGCAGCAGGGGACCGAGATGAGGACGCCAGAGACGCTCCCGAAGAACATCACGACCTTGATGAACCAGGCCGCCTCCTCCGGGTACCGCTGCACCACGTCGAGGAGTGGGTCCCCGTTCTCATCCTGGGCGTTGTCCGCGCCGTCGAAGTACGAGCCTACCCTCTCCTGGAGCGCCTGCAGACTGCCCCGTATGCTGCGCATCTCTGCCATGCCCCAGGCAACGCCAACGGGTGCCACAACTAGTTGGGTAGCCCCCCCCCTCCCCCGAACAAAAAAAACCTCCACTAACGACAACAAACATCGATCCTCGAGAGGCGTCCCCCACAAACATCGACCCTCCAAAAATCACCTCGACCCTCGAACCTCGACACTCGGGAGGCGGTGACTACACTCCTAGTGGCAACCTCACCTCGCGTTGCCCGGATGACCGTTATCTGAGGCGCCAGAGGGGAAACCAACAGGTACCGATACCGCGACTTCCCGGACCTCTCCCGGGGTGCGTTCTGACCAGCATTTCGAGGCGAATCCAGCGGTTGCGACGAGGGCCTCCCAGGAGGCCCAACAAGGTGTAAAACGAGGCAAGGGTAGCGGGATTGGTACCTGTTCCTCCTCTCAACTGGGAGAGCCCCCCCCGGGCCGAGCTCGGGACCAGCAGCGCTGAACACGAAACAGCGTGTCAGCGCGAGCGGGTCCAGGCCTTCACCCTGGCGACGAAAGCGCGGGGCGGCCCGCGAGCGTGCCCCGCGCTGCTTCCGTGCCCAATGGAATGAGGTAGTGATCCGTGAAATGAGTAATTCGCCTTCAGGTTGGCTGAAAGCCTTGAGCCAGCATGACCAAGGAGGACGAAGAAGTGGGCACAACCAATCTTGAGCGTGCCACTCACGGCGGGACGCCAGGCCCGAACACACATGACTGCACTCGAACAGCAGATCAATCGCCAAACTGAGCAGTTTGAGATAGAGCTTGCTCCGCGTGTGAGTCGGGAGAGGTCTTCAGAGGATCAAGAAGGGTGTGGTGCCCAACGCGCCAGCCGTGATGACCAAAAAACACAGTAGGTTTGCAATGGTGTTCCACAAATGCTACTGTGCGTTGCAATGTGTTCCCTACCTAGGCTCTGCCTAGAAGGGTTCTTACTCTCTATCTTAAAGGGGCCGGGCAGTGGAACGCGCCCCGGGCGGTTCCCCCGGCATCCGCCCCGCGGTTCCCCCAGTTACGTCCCCTTAGCTTGGCGTTGCTTATCTCATCTTAGCTGAGCTTATTTCATCTTAGCTTAGCTTAGCTTAGCTTAGCTTCATCTTAGCTCAGGTTTATCTTAGCTTAGCTTACCTTCATGTTTTAACTACTTTTGAACATTCCTCCTGTAGAGGGACATGCCCGACTTCAGGCTGGGGCCGGAGGATCGCGCTGCATCGCCAATGCATCGGCGACGCATCGCCGATGCATCGGCGATGCGGCGCGATCCTCCGACCCCAGCTGCTCGGACCCCATGTAGGATGCCTCGGACCCAGAGAGACGGATCAGCACAGCGGCTGATCAGCAAGGATGAAGAGAAGGAGGGGGAGTGGGATGTATTATTCTCTTGCACAGGGTGTCTAGAGCTCCATCGACTGTATTTCGGCACGGCACCGGTCGATGCAGCCCCTAGGCCCCACCTCCCAGCGGGCCCCCTCTGCATCCGCTTTTTCCCTACCTAGGCTCTGCCTAGAAGGGTTCCTACTCTCTGGGCTTCAAGGGGCCGGGCAGTGGAAAGCGCCCCGGGCGGTTCCCCCAGTATCCGCCCCGCGGTTCCCCCAGTTACGTCCCCTTAGCTTAGCGTTGCTTATCTCATCTTAGCTGAGCCTAGCTGAACTTAGCTTAGCTTAGCTTAGCTTAGCTTAACCTAGCCTAGCTTAGCTTAGCTTAGCTTAGCTGAGCCTAGCTTAGCTTAGCTTAGCGTAGCTCAGCGCAGCGCAGCGCAGCATAGCATAGCACAGCATAGCATAGCGCAGCATAGCATAGCGCAGCATAACATAGCATAGCATAGCATAGCATATCATAGTGCAGCATAGCATAGCATAGCATAGCATAGCATAGCACAGTATAGCCTAGCCTGGCCTAGCCCGACATAGCATTGCGCAGCATAGCATAGCATAGCATAGCATAGCACAGCACAGCATAGCACAGCCTGCCTGCTTCTGCTGCTGCTTCACTTACGGCGTGGCGTCGGCGGTGCTGGCGCTACTACTACTACTACTACTACTACTACTACTACTACTACTACTACTACTACTACTACTACTACTACTACTACTACTACTACTACTACTACTACTACTACTACTACTACTACTACTACTACTACTACTACTACTACTACTACTACTACTACTACTACTACTACTACTACTACTACTACTACTACTACTACTACTACTACGACTACGACTACGACTACGACTACGACTACGACTACGACTACGACTACGACTACGACTACGACTACGACTACGACTACGACTACGACTACGACTACGACTACGACTACGACTACGACTACGACTACGACTACGACTACGACTACGACTACGACGACTACGACTACTACTACGACTACTACTACTACTACTAGTACTACTACGACTACTACTACTACTACTACTACTACTACTACGACGACGACGACGACGACGACGACGACGACGACGACTACTACTACTACCGCTACTGCTACAACTACGACGATGAGGAGGAGGGGGACGGCGTTTACCGCTCCTACTAATGTTGCTTTCCTAGAGGTTCCAACTCCTAGGTAGGGTCGCACTGGGATAGTTTGCTACCCCGTAGCTGTTTCAACTTGAGCTTACGAGTCATTGCTCCGTGTGTGAATCATGGAGAGGTCTGGAGAGGTTTCGGAAAGGGAGTCGTGCCCGACGTGCCAACTTGAAGTAGCCAGTGACCAGACACCCAATTGCTGTGGCATTGCTCTTTTCTTGCGCACCGCAATTTGCACGAGTTGCAGTGTGGTAATGCTCTGCGCGTTGGTCTTCCAGCGTGAAGTTCGGAATCCCTGCTCCGCATGTGAATTGGTAGAGTTTTGATCAAGTCCTTCACCGTGTCGCGCGCAGGGGGGCGCCACGCAACCCAAAGGCAACTGACGCTCTCTGAAGCCCAGCGGCCCGAGATCGAAAGTGAACGCGTTCGGGATCCCGCGTGAGAGCCGGGAGTGGCTTGGGGATGCTCATGACGTGGTACAGCTGGGATGCTGCTGAAATAAGGCACGATAAGTAAGGAACGAGGCCCCATTCTGGCCCCAGGAGCGGCTGGGCGAGGCGATGCACAAGCTGCCGCGCGTGCGCACCGAACACGTCGGCGGGGGAGGCACGCTACGCCGTGGCCGGGAGCTGCGACGGGGAGCTGATGCAGCACCGACGGCACGCACTGCAGCTGTGCCTGCAAGTGGAGCATCCCAGACTCCCCCTCCAAACCCCGACGACGACGACGACGCCGACGACAACTCCTCGATGCCGTGGAGCCTGGAGCCCGTGCACGTCGCTCTCTGCATCGGTCCTCTGTCATCTGTGGCCTGCAGGTCGTTCTCTGCATCGCGATCTCGAGCGCTCGAGACCCCCAACATCTGAAACGGAAGCGCCCTCCATCGGTGCGGCTGCTGGGCGATTCCGGCTGCACGAGTTCACAGAGCCAAAAGGTGCCAAGCCACAACGCAGTGTTGACAAAAACTAGGCCCTCAAGCGGCGCAGCTAGCTATCACGTAAAACTTCCTGGTCGATCAGCGTACAGGAGCCCCAAATAACAAACAGAGCCTGACACCGAACTGCCTCGATGCAGCCACTGGGAGGTTCAAGTGTTCTGGGCTGTGACCTTTACCAAAATGGATGCATTAACGCGCTTGTCAACAAAGGGTTGCCCTCACTCTGAGAGGCAAGTGTTCGTTTTCAACGTTCGACTCAATCGATGTCGAGACACCCTCAAAAGGAACCAAATATTGAAAACGCGCCACACTCCGTCCGTGCGATTGTGACTTTGAAGCAATAGGGATGTTACAAAGTCACAGGCGAAATCCAGTTTATGCCTGTCTGGGGAAACCATCTTACTGGTGGAGTCCTCCTCACCTTCGTCCTGCCTCCTCACACCACCTCCTCTTGCTCCTGCTCCTGCTCCTGCTCCTGCTCATGCAATTGCTCCTCCTCCTCCTCCTCCTCCTCCCCCTCCTCCTCCTCCTCCTCCTCCTCCTCCTCCTCCTCCTGCTCCTCCTCCTCCCCTCCTTCCTCCTCCTCCTCCTCCTCCATCCTCCTCCTCCTCCTCCTCCTCTCTCTCCTCCTCCTCCTCCCTCCTCCTCCTCCTCCTCCTCCTCCTCTCCCCTCCTCCTCCTCCTCCTCCTCCGCCTCCTCCTCCTCCTCCTCCTCCTCCTCCTCCTCCTCCTCCTCCTCCTCCTCCTCCTCCTCCTCCTCCTCCTCCTCCTCCTCCTCCTCCTCCTCCTCCTCCTCCTCCTCCTCCTCCTCCTCCTCCTCCTCCTCCTCCTCCTCCTCCTCCTCCTCCTCCTCCTCCTCCTCCTCCTCCTCCTCCTCCTCCTCCTCCTCCTCCTCCTCCTCCTCCTCCCTCCTCCCTCCTCCTCCTCCTCCTCCTCCTCCTCCTCCTCCTCCTCCTCCTCCTCCTCCTCCTCCTCCTCCTCCTCCTCCTCCTCCTCCTCCTCCTCCTCCTCCTCCTCCTCCTCCTCTCCTCCCTCCTCCTCCTCCTCCTCCTCCTCCTCCTCCTCCTCCTCCTCCTCCTCCTCCTCCTCCTCCTCCTCCTCCTCCTCCTCCTTCCCTCCTCCCTCCTCCTCCTCCTCCCTTCTCCTCCTCCTTCTCCTCCTCCTCCTCTCCTCCTCTTCCTCCTCCTCCTTCTCCTCCTCCCCCTCCCCCCTCCTCCCTCCCTCCCTCCTCCTGCCTCCTGCTCCCGCCGCCCTCCTCCCTCCCTCCTCCCATTTCCCTCCGCCCCCCCCCTCACTGGGGAGACCCAAGTGTACCGATACCGCTACTCCCCGGACCTATCCTGGGGCGCGTTCTGACTAAGATGTCGAAGCGAACCCCGCGGTGGCGAGACGAAGGCCTCCAGGAGGCCCCCAAAAAGCGAAAACCGAGGGAAGGGTAGCGGTATCGGTGCCTTTCCCTCCCTACGCCCCCCCCTCCTCCTCCTCCTCCTCCTCCTCCTCCTCCTCCTCCTCCTCCTCTCCT